TGACCCCACAAGGACTCTGTGGTGGCCACTCCTACCAATACTGGCATGGACAGATGCATCTGCAGCCAGCAAATTGATAAGGATGAGGTCAAGAATGGTTTTTCCTCTTGTTGGTTCCCTCACTACCTGCTGCAGACCCAAATTTTTACGGCCTGAAAAGCTTGATCAATAGTGCTGCTGTCAAGCCACTTTTGGTGGTGAATGTTGAAATCCCCCAACCAGAGTACATTGTGCTCTTACCACCCTCAGTGCATCCTCCTAAGCATTGCTCAACGTGAAGGAGTACTGATTTTATTAGTGGAGGGAGGGTGACACATGGTACATGATAACCAGTAGGAGGTTTCCTTTCCCATGTTTAACCTGAAGCCATTAGTCTAGTAAATCTTCCGAGCTGCTTCCAATGTAGTAACATACTTCTGTAAGTACAGTGACAGTATTGTACACAGTGCTCTAGATGAAGTCTTATCAATGCCCTGTATAATTGAAGCCTAACCTCCCAACTCTTGTATATAAAATTGCAATAAAGCATAACATTCAATTAGATTTCCTGATTAGTACGCAGGTGCAGCAAGTAACCTTCTTCCGTGATTCATGCAACCACACACCCAGACCTCGCTGCACATCAGCTCTGCATCATCTCACCATTTAGAGAATACACTTTTTTTTATTCTTTGTGCCAAAGTGAACAATCTCTCATTTTTCCATGTTGTACTCGATTAGCTATATCCTTGCCCACTCACTCAACTTACCCCCATCCCTGTTAGATATGATGAGTGAGGATGGTGGAGCCATGCACTGGATTGATAGAAAACATTGGTTCATGGATTCACCTACTGTGGTCTGTACTCATTTTTCCAGATAGCATTTAAACTGGAAATTTAGCCACATTGCACAGTGTAGAATATTCTCTCCCCGCTCTTAAATTCTGGCCCTCTTCAAACGAATGCTAGCATTAGATTTGTCTTTCTAACTGCTAACTGAACCTGCATGTTAACCTCAAGAGAATCCTGATCTAGGACTCCCAAGTCCCTTTGTGCTTCAGATTTCTGAAGCCTTCCCTGTTTTTAAAAATATTCTACACCTCCATTCTTCCTACCAAAGTGCATAATCTCACACTTTTCCACGTAGAATACAATGTGCCACTTCTTTGCCCATTCTTCTAGCCTGTCCAAGTCCTTCTGCTACCTCTCTACTTCCTAAACACTACCTGTCCCTCCACCTATCTTCGTGTTATCTGCAAGCTTGGAAATAATGGCTTCAGTTCCTTCATCCCAATGTTAAAGTACAATATGAATAGTTGTGGTCCCAACACTCACCCCTCCAGAACTCCATCCTGCAAAAGACCCCTTTGTCCCCACTTTCTGCCATCTGCCAGTCAGCCAATCCTCTATCCATGCCAGTACCTTGAACCTAACACTATGGGCTCTTATCTTATTTAGCAGCCTTCTGGAAATACAAATAGCTGATGTCCATTGGCTTTTTCTAAGTTGCTCGTTACCTCCTCAAAGAATTCTAATGAATTTGTCAGGCATGACTTCTCCTTGACAAAGCTGTGCTGACTCGGCCGTATTTTACCATGCACTTCCACGTATTCTGCAATCTTATCCTTAATAATGGACCCGCAAATCTTTCCAACAACTGAGGTCTAGCTAACTGGCCTATAATTTCGCATCTTCTGCCCCCATCTCCCTTCTTAAATGGGGGTGTTACATAAGTTCATCTTCCAGTCATCTGGGACCTACCTTAACTACAGTCATTCCTGAAAGATCACCACCAGTGCCTCCACAACTTCTTCAACTATACCCTTCAGAATCCTGAATATAGTCCATCCAGACTGGCTGATTTATCCACATTCAGACCCTTCTGCTTCCCCAGCATCTCCTCCTTAGTGATGGCCACTGCACTCGTTCCTGCCCCCTAACTCTCGTGAAGTTCTGGTATGTTGCTGGCATCTTACACTATGAAGAATGATGCAATGTACCTATTTTGATCCTCCACTGGTCACTGAACTTCAGGCTGAATACTTTCCATCTACTACCACCCTCTGTCTTCTATTGGACAGCCATTTCTGTATCCAGACAGCCAAATGTCCCTGAATCCCATGCCTCCTTACTTTCTGAATGAGCCTACCATGGGGAACCTTATCAAATGCCTTGCTAAAATCCATATTCACCACATCCACTGCTTGACTTTCATCAATGAGTATCATCACATCCTCAAAGAATTCAGTAAGGCTTGTGAGACATGACCTGCCCCTCTCAGAGCCATGCTGACTATATCTAATCAAACTGTGCTTTTCCAAATAATCATAAATACTATCTGTCAGAATCCTTTCCAATAATTTGCCCACCACAGAAGTAAGACTGTCCGGTCTGTAATTTCCAGGATTATCCCTATTCCCTTTCTTGAACAAGGGAATGACATTTGCCACCCTCCAATCGTCTGGTTCTACTCCAGTGGACAGTGAGGACGCAAAGATCATCGCCAAAGGCGCAGCAATCTCTTCCCTCGCTTCCCGTAGAAACCTTCGGTATATCCTGTCTGGCCCAGGGGACTTCTCTATTCTTGCAAAATTTCTAACACATCCTCCTTCCTAACTTCAACCTGTTCGAGCATATCTGCCTGTTTCATGCTGTCCTCAAACGTCAAGGTCCCTCTTCCTGGTGAATACTGAAGCAAAGTATTCATTTTGGACCTCTCCTACCACCTCCGACTCCGCGCACAAGTTCCCTCCACTATCCCTGATTGCCCCAACCCTCACTTTGGTCATCCTCTTGTTCCTCTCAAGTATAGAACACCTTGCGGTTTTCCTTAATCCTACCCGCCAAGGCTTTTCATACCCTCTTCTAGCTCTCCTAAGCCCATTCTTCAGTTCCTTCCTGGCTACCTTGTGTCCCTCTAGAGCCTTGTCCGATCCTTGTTTCCGCAACCTTAAGCGTTGTCTCTCCTATTACTGTTCTGAAAAATATAATAATATAATAAGCTTTGCTCCCCTTATCTTTCTGTAATTTTCTGTGCAGTGGAACCCAACCCCAGCCCCCTCCCCCACTAAATTTAATTTGAAGCCCTATCTACAACCCTGGCTGTGCAATTTACCAGGACTCTGGTCTTGGTATGATTCAAGCGGAGCCATTCCATAAGTAGAGTTCCCTTCCTTCCCCAGTACTGGTGCCATTGTCTAATGAATTCAAACCTGCTTCTGCTACACATTTACTGCTTTTAAAAAGCAGCCAAGTGATACAAAATTAATTTTGTCCCTAACTGCCCATATCACTTTCTGCCTATATCATCGGTACCTACATGGATCACAACCGGATCATTTCCTTCTTACTCCCAAGTTCCTCTGTAGCCCAGATGAGAGATTCTGAACCCAGGTACCAGGCAGGTAACACAATCTTTTGGGACTTTTGATCCTGGCCACAGAACAATGTCTGTTCCTAATACTCTATTACTGTATATCCTGCCTTCCCCAATCCAGTTGAATAGCTACCTGTATTAGAACCATGGTGCATTACAAGCCCAGTCTATTGCGCCTTTCCTTATAAGAAAATCCCTCCAGACTCAAGATCAACCGTGTAAACCTTTTCTGGAACGCTTCCAATGCCGTTATATCTTGCCTTAGATAAATGAACCAGTACTGTTTAGTTTTCCACTTGTGGTCTGACTTGTTTAATTTTAGCTAGAGTTTAGAGTAGCCTTTATAGTCACGTCCACTTGATTGAGTGCAGTGAAAAGTTTGTAGCGTCGTGGCTGTGGTGCCTTCTTAAAGTACATGTTACCTAGGTACAGAATACATTAAATGCTTGTTACAGAATTGAAATACTTTTTTAATAAAAAGTCTAGCATAGAATACATGCAGGAGGTGGTCCGAGTCCAGGCTGACCTGGATGACGAGTTGTGGATGTGGGTCATTGGCCGGAGTCTGGCGCAGGAGGCAGCCCAAGTCCGGGCCAGCCTGGGAGATGAGTCCTGGAAGTGGGTCGTGGGCTGGAGGCAGCAAGGTCTAAAGACCCTGAAGCCTGGTGGGCATGAACTGTAATTTGAGTACTTTCTGAAACTTTGTATTCCTGTGTTCTCCATATTTCTTGTGCAGCTGTGATATTGACATGGAACAGGAAAAGTCAGGTGTGTGACAATTGGGTGGCACGGGGCTCAGTGGTTAGCACTGCTGCCTCACAGAGGCAGGAACCCGGGTTTGATTCCACCCTCGGGCAACTGTCTGCATGGAGTTTGCACATCCTCCTTGTGTCTGCATGGGTTTCCTCCGTGTGCTCCGGTTTCCTCCCACAGTCCAGAGATGTGCAGGCTAGGTGGATTGGCCATGCTAAATTGCCTGTAGTGTCCAGGGATGTGTGGATTAGGTGGGTTATGGGGAGATGGATCTGGGTGGGATGCTCTTGAGGGTTGGTGTGGACTTGTTGGGCCAAAGGGCCTGTTTCCACACTAGGGACTGTATGAATTACTTGCATTTTATGTAACATAATTATATGTTTAGTAAAGCCAGAATCAAGTTGTTTATAGATTCATATTGCACAGAGCTGACCCTTTCATCAAGCCTATCCATGCTGAACATAATCCCAAACTAAACTAGTCCCACTTGCCTGCCCCTGGCCCATATCCCTCCAAACCTTTCCTATTCGTGTACTTATCCAAATGTCTTTTACACGTTGTAATTGTATCCACATCCACCACTTCCTCAGAAAGTTCGTTCCACACACACACCACCTTCTCCTCTCACCTTAAAAGTGTGCTCCCTAGCTTTGAAATCCCTCATCCTAGGGAAGAGACACCTACCACTAATCCTATCTAAACCCCTCATGAATTTATAAACTTCTATAAGATCGCCTCTCAACCTCCCACGTTTGTCCCACAGCATGGTCCTCTAGAACTTGTTCTGAGGTTAAGAGCAAGGAATAGTCTGACTAATAATCAGGTAGGTTTTATTTTCATATTCTCGTCTGCTGGCTACAAATGGAATAAAGTATCTGCTTTTCTTTCAGAGAATGCCAGCCAAAACTTTCTCGGATGGTGAAATGGTCATGGGTCGTTGGCCGGGTAGTAACCTGTACTATGAGGTTCAAGTGACTGGTTACAACAAGAGCACCCAGCTGTATGCAGTCAAGTATAAGGATGGTACTGAGCTGGACCTGAAAGAAAGTGATGTCAAGGTGAGAGATAGTAGGAACTGCAGATGCTGGAAAATCTGAGATAACAAGGTGTACAGCTGGATGAACACAGCAGGCCAAGCAGCATCATAGGAGCAGGAAGGCTGACGTTTCGGGCCTAGACCCTTCATCAGAAATGAAGGTGATGTTGGTGACTGAAGATTTAAGATTTGAAGAAAATATCTTTGTGATATTGCAAGCAATTGTGCTCTAACCATAATCATGCATTTCAAATTGTTTCTATACTGATGGTGTAGACATTAATTGCTTAGAATCATATAGTAGATTGTGTTCCACCATTTGAACTGAATCTAGCGCACAATTAGTTAATTGCTGTGCATGTACAAAGTAGTTCTCCAGTGGATTTTACTTCCTTCTCCCTTTTACACTGGCTTGGGTCTCCTGTGATGCTGCAGTCTCTGGTGCTACCTAAATTGAGATCTTGCATTAGGAGTGTGCTGAAACAGGCCCATGGTAATGCGATGAAAAAATCAGAAGGCACGTGCTTTATTAAATATCTTTTCAAAGGAAATTGTCAGAACGGGAAAGTTTTTTTTTACATCTGCCAGCAAATCCATCCTGTTTTTTGATCCTAAGCATGCTGACGAATATTTTCACTACACCTACTAATTCCACCTCTGTCCAGAGTGCAGTCAGGACCAGAAGTTAACGTGTTACATCCAATAGCTCTTTGTTCCATCTGCAAATGTTTGACCTACTTAGGATTTCCAGCCATTTATTTTTTATTTTTGTTCCAATTTTCAGCATCAGTTATATTTAATCTTTAAGGTAAAGATATAGGACACTTGGCAATCACCAACTTCTTTATTCTGTCTCTATTAAGTTGATAATTTGAAAAGAATTCTCTTCATATGCTTTTTGAAGGTGTTTACATTTTATTTGGATAACTTGTATCAGTCATTACCAATACCTCACTCCATGTCTTTTTTCCCTAATGTCAAGCCAAATCTGGTTCTGTTTGTGCCATCTTCAAAATGCAGAAGTTCACAGGAATCATTTGATAACGCTGTGCTTAAAATGAGTGTTGTTTGGAAATTATTCCAAAACATTTAAGGATCATCTGAGTGTTATCAGTATTTTCTTCAATTTTAGCATGTATCCATAGAAGAGTAATATGATGCCAATTAAAAGAACAGAAGACCACCTTTTGGGGTAGAGGGAACCTTAACAGATTTCCAAAAGAAAGGAAAGATTAACATTGTGTGAGAAATAATGTTATGGGATCAAGGTGAGTTGAGAGGTACTTGTTGTCTTTCTGAAGAAAAATAAGGACTGACATTTGTCAAATTTATGGAATAAAAGATTCAAAAGTCTGGAGAAAGAAATAATTGTACTAAAAACCTAAAGAACTGCAGATGCTGGAAATCGGAAACAAACAAGTTGCTGGAAAATCTCGGCAGGTCTGGCAGAATCTGTAGTGAGAAATCAGAGTTAGTATTTAGGGTCTGCTATTTCCCCCTTCAGAACTGATAGAATCCAGGAAAAGTTTGGTTTTTGTACAGAAGATGGGGAGGAGGGAGAGTTAACGATTTAAATAATTGTATCACTCTTCCACGTTGGTGTAGAATTGTTACACAATTAACCCCTGCTGCATTGGAGAACACTCCAACTCATTCTGTTTCTCATAAGTTATCTTGATGGAGCTGTGAAAGAATGCAAGTTACACAGTCACATTTAGGACATTAAAATATTTGTCTTTGTGGAATGAGGACTGATGAAGAAAGAACTACGGAGGTACATCTGACACTTTGAGCTGGAGGCCACGCTACATACACTGCAACATTTTGGGAATGTGAGGTTTACTTTTAGCAGGAGGCCTCATGACTTTATCAAATGGTCAGTGATGGGGGCAGTATGGCTACAGCTGAGACCGATAAGCAAGTACAGAGGACAAGAGTGCAGGAGCCCTCTGCATTTGCATTTGTGTGACAGATTCTTTCAAATAGTTTGGGTGAGCGTAGGATGGCAAGTCTGATGAGCCAACTGTTCATGGTAACGTACAGAAAGCCATAAAAGTGGGGAGCAAAATGGGACATAGTGATAGTAAGGGGCGGTATAATGGGGGGAATTGACACTTTTTCAGCAAAGTGAGTGTCCAGAATGCTTTGCTACCGGTCCAGTGGCAGGGTTTGTGACATCTCAGTGCTGTATTGATCTTGCTTTGTAAGGAAGGGTGGAAATGCATTGGCAGCAGTTCAGGTAGTTTAGTAAAGCTCCTCTAAAATTGGAAGGTTGACTTAGGAAGGAAATTTGGATAGGCTAGATTTGTATCTTGTGACGTTTAGAATATTGAGGCAACTTGATTGATTGAAACATGAGTTTCTGTGATGTCTTGACACGTTGGAGGTGAAAGAGATATTTTGTCTCATGGGAGAATCTAGAACCTAAGGTCTCTTTCAAAATAAGCAGTAATCCATTTGAGAGAAAACAAGAATTCTTTTTCTCTCTCAAAAGATAGTTCCAAATGCTATGGAAGAAGGGGTTTTTGAATATTTTTACAGCAGGAGTAGATAGGTTCTTGAGCAGCAAGGGAGTGAAAGATTATGCAAGATTATGGAGTAATCAGGTCAGCCATGACCTTTGTGAAGGTAAGAGGAGACTCTGGAGCAGCCTCCAGAAAAATGACCTCATCCGCTCCAAATGCATATTCCATTTACCTTAACTGCATAATTTTTGACTGCAGTTCAAGCATCTTTATTAAAATCAATTTAGTAGTGTTTACATGAGCAAACAATGGATGCAGAAAAATAATGAGAACCATTTGACTTTTTGAGCACAATGTTAATTCAAGTTGCTGATGGATATTTGAAAATATTTAGTGGAAGTAAAACCATAATTAATTAGTTACATTTTTCTTTTTCTTCTGCTAGCCCTTAAATTATTTTAGAATGAGAAAAGCCCATTCAAGATCATCTTCTCGACAGCGTAGTCGATCACGATCACGATCACGATCACGTTCTCCGGCTAGAACACAAGCTCCCAAGCATTCAACCTCTCGTGGCAGGGAGACTAAGAAACCCATGCAGAAGGAAGAAGTGCAAAAGGAAGATGTGCCTGCACTGAAATTTGTCCATCAGGTATGTGAAGGTCTTGTCAAGATTTGGATCGACTCAGGACTAAGCTCTGTGGTCATGTGACTGTATTAGTCTCCAGCTCGGCCTCTTGACCCTCAACAGATTTCAGTATCGGCTAGAAATGTGAATGGCAAAGAGGCAGTCTCATGGTGTCTGCCCGTATGCCACTATCTCTGTGGCTGTGTGGAGATTAGCAATTATAGTGACCATTAAAAGGTGGAATGGCTGGAGGTGCAGTGAAATTTTAACAGAAATGTGATAAAGGAATTTAACTTGATTGCTCTTGAGCATCAAATTAGTTGAAATGGTAGAATTCTGTCTATTTTTCTGGGAGCTGGTGCTCACAGAGATACAAAAGAAGATGAAAGGCAAAGAGGAAATATTGTTCGCACAAGCTTTGACATTGATTTAGCTTTTAGAAGCGTCCCTAAAATGAATAGACCCCCAGCAAATGTGTACTAGTACTTTGAATGGTGGTTAGTACTGTTAGTGTGTTTGGACTACTTTACTGTTGGGTCTCAGTCGAATTAGCAGTTTTGTGTAGTTGTGTTCAGGGAGACCAAATAAAGCATTTTGTTAAATTCTGAAAGACACTGTTTAAATTCGAAGTCTTATTGATGCTTTCTTTCTATGAGATGCTTCAGGAGAACAGCACAAGCAGCAAAACTACCTCTGTGACAAACTACAAAGAGGCGGAGGAGGAGAACAATGCCAAGAATACCTACAGAATTGTTGAGGTAGAGAAATCCCTTCTCCAGAGTACTGATAAAATTCAGTGTTACTTCAATGGTACAAAGCATTACAAGGATCTACTGACTTCTACTTTCTCATTCTAAGAATATCAGGAATAAGAGCAGGAGTAGCCCATTCAGTCCCTTAATCTTGCCCCACCATTCTATAAGATTATGGCTACTCCGCCCCAGGACTCAACTCCCCTTTCATGCTAGCTTCTCGTAAATCTTTGAAATATCAGGGAGTTGAGATCTATCTACCTTCTCTGTAAGTACTTGGTGATATAACCTTCACAACTCCGGAGAATTCCAGACATTCACTACTCTTTGATAAATTCCATTGCATCTCAGTTTTAAATAAATGTCCCCTTATTCTGTAACTATGTCTCCTAGTTAAAGATGTCCCTACTAGTGGAAACATCTTCTCAACATCTACCCTGTCAAACCCCCTTGGGGCTTGACAGTTTCAAAAATATCACACCTAATTTTTTTCCAAACTCTACTGATGACAGGCCTAACCTGTTTAACCATTCTTTATAAGTCAGCCCCTTCATCCTAGGAATCAATGTATTGAATCTCTATTGAGTAACCTTCAATGCTTGTATATCCTTAATATTGAAATTGTGCTTGTACTCCAACTGTAGTCTCACGAATACCGAATACATTTGTAACAAGACTTCTCTATTTTTAAAGTCCAACACCCCCCCCCCGCCAGCCAAAAAGTCCAAATTATTTGCTGCATCTGCATGTAACTTTTTGTATTTTATGCACAAAAATCATCCAAATCCCCCTGCTGTACAATTTTTTTTTGAGTCTCACATCATTGAAATAATAGCCTACCTTTTTGATTTCTTTTTTTCTTACAAAAGCACATTACTTCACACTTTTCCCTACATTAAACTTCATCTGCCGAGATTTTGTTCAGTCACTCAACCTATCTATATTCCTTTACAGATTCCTTCTATCCGCGTCACAACTTGCCTCCTATGTTTGTGTGGTCAACAAACTTGGATATCACACTATCCTGTCCTTCAAGTCCATAATACTGGAGGCCGAGGATTGATCCTTGTGGCACTCCACTAGTTACATCTTTCCAACCTGAAAAATACCCGTTAATCCCAACTCTGTCCCCTTGATTCAGCAACTGGGTGGCTATTTTATGGGCTATATTACAAAAGTGTGATGGAGTTTAACATGGTCTTTGCATTAAATGGTGATGACTGTTTCAAAATGGCCATTACCCACACCAGGCTGGCAGTTCACTTTATATTTGTTATATAGGTCAACCCCTATTTTTGGGATAAAAGAAGTATCACTATTGTATAAAATTGGCTAAATGATGGAAAAGAAGAATTGCAGTGAATTTGATTACTTTTTCCATTCTGGAGGGTATATAATGTGTACCCCAATGGTCAATACTGTGACCATGATTTCTGATTCACATTAATGACTTTTGGGGAGGTGTGGGTGGGGCAGAATATAGGAATCAATTGTAAAATTTTCTGATGCCACAAAACTTTTATAAGCATAGTAAAATACAGTGAGAAATAGACATCAAGATGATAGAGACGTGGTGGTGGAGTAGGAGAATATATGGCAAACAAAATTCAGTGCAAGAAATGTCTGAGGCATTGTGGTTGACTCTGGACAGTTTTGGGGATGGGCAATAAGTACTGGCCTGGCCAGTGACCACCATCTCCTGTGAATCAATACATTTTTAAAATATTGGGAGAAATAACGAGGAGTGAGACTTACAATAGTATCAAGTTGCCTGCAAAGGGAATGAATGAAGAAAAGGACCTTGGGTTGTTTATGTGCACATCTTTGGAGGTAGTTTGGCAGGTTAACAAAACAGTAAATATCCTTTAATCAATTGAAGAAAACAAAAACTGCAAAGATTTGTTAAATCATGTCTAACCTCAGTTCAAACCCAGCAGGAGTATCATGTCCTTTTCTGGACTGCACAATTTGGGAAGGATGTAAAGACTTTAAATCTGTTTTAGAATAGATTTGCTAGAATGGTTCCAGGCTGGAGCAGTTACAGTTAAATGGCTTCACTGGAGAAGCTGGAGTTTTTCTCCCTTTTTAGAGGTAGTGAAGACTGAGGAGATATGATGCCTTTATAATTTTAAAGGGTTTAGATAGAGTAAATGGAGATGGATTGTTTCCAGTGGATGAATAATTGATAATTAGAAAGCAAAAAATTGAGGGTTTAATGAAAAGTTTGTTTTATTGAAAGGAGTGTTTAGGATTTAGAATCAACTGTCTGATTGAATCAGTATCCACCATTCTATGATCACACTTAAAGGGAATTGGATAGTTGAAGTGGGGCAGGGGAGTGAGGCTAACTGGATTGCTCTTTGAAAGTAATGGCAGAGAATCTGGGTTCAACAGACAACTTCTGTGCTGTACTGTTGTATGATGAATCTCAACTGAAGATTCAATTTTAGGGGCTAGTTTGTTGTTATGCTGCCCTTTTATATTTGGGTTTGATGCCTTCACACTGAATTATGGCGTCAATCCTAAATTTATTTTCTGAGATTGAACAGACAAACTGATATTCCTATTTTTTTTTAAAAAAAGCAAATGCTGTGATGTCAGCCTCGACATTAACAATATTTTTCTCTCCACGGATGCTGCCCGACCAGCTGTGTTTCTCTAGCACATTCTGTTGTATTTCAGACTTCCAGCATCTGCAGTATTTTGCTTTTATCTGATATTCCTAAGATTTAGTTGTTTCTGACCAAGCAGATGAGAGATCATGATAGGGAGTGTTTTTAATCGGTCATCGTTATTAGACTAGTGGTGTTTCTTTCCATGGATGTAACTGAAATGTTAAATGATTTTTCTTTTGAGGATTTGTTTACTTTTGCATGACACTATAGCCAAGGAAGTATAGATAATTTTGTGCCACTCCATGGCTAGTTTTCTTGGGATTCCCAATGTTCTTTTTCATTCTTTGCTGACGGATGATGTTTGACTTTTGTTTGTGACTCAGTAACGTAACTGAGCTAAAACTGGCGATTTCTTACAATATGGGCAGAGAACCCAAATGCTTTTGTGTCTATGTCTCTTTGCAGAACTTTTGCTCACTTTTAGTTTTTATTTTGAGTTCCCTTTCTTGTTACTCTCCTGGTGTCCTGCTCAGTTTATAGAAAACCTTCATTTATCAGTTTTGCTGACAATTTACTTATTTCTGTAGTTGAGGAAGTGTATTTTGATAATGAATTGCGCAAAAATCCTCAACACTAGTGCCCTGCAAGGTTGTATGTTCAATCCCCTACTATATTCTGTATACAGTAACGAATGTGTGGCCAAATTTCTCACCGACTCCATTTTTTTTTACGAGTTTGTTGCCAACACCACTGCTGTAGGTCAGTTCTCAAACAACGAGGATACAATACAGGAAAGAGATATGGCTTAGTGGCATGGTGTAAAGGCAGCAATCTCTCCATCAACCTTAGAAAAACAAAGGAGTTGGTCATTAATTTCAGGAAGTGGAGTGGAGGGCATGCCCCTGTCTGCATCAGTGGTGCTGAGGTGGAGATGGTCGAGAGCATCAAGATCCTGGGAGTGAGAATCACCAACAATTTGTTCTGGACTGTCCAATGTGTTTACTTCCTCAGGAGGCTCAGAAAATTTGCCATGTCCACAAAGACTCTGACCAATTTTTGTAGAGGCACCATAGAAAGCATCCTACCCTGGATGCAATATAGCGTAGTATGGCAACTGCTCTTGCCAAGACCACAAGAAGCTATAGAGAGTCATGAATGCAGCCCAGTTCATCTTGCAAACCTGTCTTCCATCCACTGACTCCATCTATGCTTCTGGCTGCCTTGGGAAAGCAACCAACCATATCAAAGACCCCTTCCATTCTTGGTTACACTCTCTTCTATTGTCTTCTGTCAGGCAGAAGATATAACATATTTTGAATGCAGGTACAAACAGATTCAAAAACAGCTTCTTCCCCACTATTATCAGAGTTTTGAAAGGGCCTCTCAAATGTTAATTCTGAACTCCCTCTGCACCTTCTTTGCAGCTGTAGTACTACATTCTGCAGTCGGTTCTGCTCTGTTCCCTGATGTACTTTGTATGGTATGATCTGATTGTATAGCATGCAAAACAACACTTTTCTTCACTGTGTCTCTGATTTATTGTTGTCACATGTACAATGTTAGTCCATTCACATTATTATAGTTTCAAAGTATTGTGAAAATTATTCGGTGGTTTTTGTTTGGAGAATGGGCAAGATAGGAGTATGGTGATCTCTAGCTGTTATTGGGTTATGTAATTCATATGTAGCCTTGTTCTTTTCTTTCTGTCATCTGTTTCATTTAACTTAGCACAAGATACGGAAGGAAATTGTAACAGACCAGTTGGATCTCCCTTACAATCTCCGAACCAAGAAGCAAGAAGAAAAAGTTGTAGAATTGGAAACAAAAGATGACCATCTGTACATTAAAAAACAAGCAGTGCGGACACAAGAGCGGGAGTTTGGAGGTAGAATTGGTAAGACCAGAGGATATTTCTGAGACCTTGCATTTCTTTCCACTATGCCTTGCAAGTTATATTCTCTAACCAGTTTTCTTTTAGTTAAGATAGATTAGTCAGTGAAATTTTTGATGACTTCACGTTTAAAAATTAACTTCACAAAAACCTGTCTGTTCAAAGAAATATTGAAAAAGTCTCTCTTGGGAAGACAAATTAAAGTTATAGACAGTATCAAATTGAAAGAGAACGCATACTCTGCTTTAAAGATTCATGGCAGGCCAGGAGGTTTTTAAAAACAAAAATTAGAAACCAGCAAAAGATGGCTTAAACAAAAGGTGATAAATAGATAGGAAGAAATAAAAGTATTCTAGGCCATTTGACTTGATATCTATCATTTGGGAAAAATATAGAACTAGGAGGCATAACTGCAGAATAAGAGGTCACCCGTTCAAGGTAGAGAGGAGGAGTTTCTTTCAAAGAAACGTGGATCTTTGGCACTCCGTACCTTGGGAGTTGTTGAGGTGTGTTGAATATATTCAAAGCTGAGATAGTGAGATTCTTGAACAAAAGGGCCGTCGATGATTAAGGGGAGAAGGCAGGAAAGTACAGTTGAGGTCAAGGTCAGATTAGTCGTCGTCTCATTCATTGACAGAACAGCCTGGCTAGGGCCTTATGGTTTCCTACTCCATTTATGTTCTTGGGAATAGATGAAATGCCATTGCAATTAATGTTTATTTTTTAAAAAATGTTCTGGTATTATTTAGGATTACATTTATGGCTTTCATCATTAGTTGAGATTCCCTGTATTTTCCTTTCTTGCTTTCAAGTAGTAAGTGTAATAGTAGCAAGTTTTGAGATTTTCCCTCTGTTTGGGAAGTGTTTTTAACTGAACTTTCACCAACAGAGAAGTCAGTGAGTCATTTGCAGTCAGTGAAAGATGTACATTTGCCAGTTCCCACTTTGATGCCTGCAGGCTAACATTTCCCTTTCTTTTAGGTGTCTTCTTCATCATGTTCTTATTGCCCTTCACGGTCATTCTCTTGCTTTTGATGTGTGCGGAAGATGATGCCAGTATTCGGAGTTTTCCACCCCCCATGTCAGCCCTGCAGATGTTATGGAGTAGTAATGCACTGGGCATCTTTGTCCTGTGGTTTTTATTCCAGGCTCTGCTCTACCTACTGCCCATTGGAAAGGTAATCCAAGTTATGCTTTAGCATTTTTAGTATTGAGAAGCAGGTACAATTCTCGATTGCCAACAAAACTTTGCATGTTTATGGTATTCTTGCCGCTGGTACAAGTGTTGTCAAGGTGAATGCACCAGTTTAATTATGACTGCCGGTTCACGTGCTGAGTTTTAAATTTTAAATCAGGCGAGTTTACCCTGATTAGTTGAGGCATTTCGCTGAGAAACGAACCAGAGCATGGCTATCACCTATTTTGTTGAATTGAAATCTTTCTATCTCCAACTTAATTAGTGTCTGGTGTCCGCCGTGCTCTAGCATAGTGAATCCACAGATTTATAACCCTTTGAGGGGAGTAATTCCTCCTCATTGCTCTTTTAAATCTGCCACCATTTAGTCTAAAACTATGACTTGTGAATGACTAAAATTTTAAGCAAAAAAAAAATCATTATATGTAGGATTTTTTAAATTGATGTGATTGTGATTTTGTTTCAGTCAGGACAGTTTGTGACCTTGGTTTGGAGAGTGTGTGTGTTTCAAAGGACAATAGGTAATCCTATTCTCATGATGTTGCAACACTTGTCCTTCTCAGTGTCGATAGTGAGTCTAGGTTATGTTTACATAGTAGAATTAATAACTTCTGTAGAATATTCAGTCATAACACTGCAGCCCCATTGTACTGGAGGTGGAAAGGTATGAACATATGTAAGAGATAGCATTGTATCAATGGAACGTAGGAGGTTGAGGGCTGACTTTAGCTTTATAAAATCATGAGTGATATAGCTAAGTGAATAGCAGGTGTTTTTTTTTCCCTAGGGTAGGAAATTTCAAGACTAGGGACATCTTTCTAAGATGAAAGGCAAAGATTTAAAAAAAACATGAGGGGCAGTTTTTTTTACATGGAGAGTGGCACTTCTTTGGAATAAACTTCCAGAGGAAGTGGTAGATATGGGTACAGTATAATGTTTAAAAGGCGTTTAGACAAGTACACGAATAAAAAAAGTTTGGAGGGATATGGGCCAAGTGCAGGCAGGTGGGGCTAAATTAGTTTGGAATTATGTTTCGCATGGACTGGTTGGACCGAAGCGTCCGTTTCCATGCTGTATGACTGTCAGTTCATCATGCTGTATAATGTCTGCAATACCTCATTGTTGGTCCTGTAATTTTTTTCATTTTCTCCAACTCCCTTTTTCAATGAGAACTGCTCTTGAAATAGTTTGATTACAGGTTACTCAAGTAGAGATTTTCTTTAGCAACATTGACAAATGCTTTCAACAGAAAGATGCTGGAAATTGTCTTTTTAAGATTGAACAATATAAACAGGAAGGCAATTGATTAACTTGTATCATTTGACTTTTTCGCTCTTTCACAATGCACTAATATCTGAAGGCTTGGTAAAAATACAAGCCAGTTTAGATTCCTCTCTGAGGTGATGTTGAGTCCCTCACTAGACCAAGGAAGCTGAAGGAATGTATTCTTGACTTGTCATTTCAGCCTCTGTTTCACATTGTGCTGAAGCAGGTGGATCATTTGAGAATTTTGTGGAGGTAGTTTGTATTTAGAGGTCTACTTTGCATGCATCTTATTGTCGTAAAGTCCTACAGCAAGGAGACCGACTGTTCGGTCCAAACTGGTCCATGCCAACCAAATTGTCCGTCCACGCTAACCTCATTTCCCTGCACTTGGCCTATAGCCTTCTAAATCTTTCTTATCCATATATTTGTCCAAATGCCTTTTAAATGTTGTTAATGTACCCGCCTCAAACACTTCCGCTGGCTGTTCATTCCATATGCATACCACCCTTTGTAAAAATAAAAATTGCCCCTCGGGTTCCCATGTATTCTTTTCCCTCTTAGCTTAAACTGTTGCCCTCTAGTCCCCAATTTCCCCAACCCTGGGAAAAAGACTCAGTGCATTCACCCTATCCATGCCTCTAAAGTCCTAGATTGTCCAACCTGTCCCTACAATTCAGTCCCATGGGTCGTGGCAACATCCTTGCAAATTTCTTCTGTATTCTTTCCAGTTTAATAACATCCTTCCTGTAGCAAGGTGACCAAAACTGAATACACTACTCCAATTGGGGCTTCACTCGCGTCCTTTATAGCTGCAACATAACTTTCCAACTTCTATACTCAATGTCCTATCTGAATGCTTTTGGCACACAGGCAGTCTTCATTGCCCTGTCTACTTGTGACTCCACTTTCAGAGAACCGTGCACTTGAACTCCAAGGTCCCTCTGTTCCACTACACTTCTTAGGGCTCTACCATGCGCAATGAAACTCCTATCTTGATTTGACTTTCCAAAATGCAGCATCTCACACTTGTCTCTATTAAACTCCATTTGCCATTTCTCAGCCCACTTCCCCAGCTGATCAAGATCCTGCTGCAATTTCTGGTAACCTTCCTCACTGTCCATGATACTGCCTATTTTAACAACATCCGCAAACTTATGAATCATGCCTTGTGCATTCTCGACCAAATTGTTGATATAGATAACAAACAGTAATGGGCCCAGCACTGACCCCTGAGGCACACCAGTAGTCATAGACCTCCTATGTCTGACAAGCATCCTTCCACTGTTACTGTCCAATTCCTACCATCGAGCCAATTGTGTATCTAATTTGCTAACTGTCTCTGGATTCCATGTGATCTAACCTTCCAGAGCAGCCTACCATGTGGAAGCTTATCAAAGGCCTTACTGAAACCCATGTAGACCACATTGCCTGCCCTCATAACCTTCCTGGTCATTTCAAAGAACTCTAACAAATTTGTGAGGCATGACCTCCCATGCACAAAGCCATGCTGACTACTCCTAATCAAACCCTGTCTTTCTAAATGCATGTATATCTTACCCCTCAAAATCTTCTCAAGTAACTTACCTACGACAGATGTTAATCTTACTGGTCTATAATTCCCAGGTTTTTCTTTGCAGCCCTTCTTGAATAAGGGCACAATATTTGCTACTTTCTAGTCTTCCTGGACCTCCCCCGTGGCTAACGATGATGCAAATGTATCAGCCAGGACCACTGCAATTTCTTCACTAGCCTCTTGCAGGGTTCTTTGATATATCTGATCAGGACCAGGAGATTTATCCACCTTCATACATTCTGGTACTTCCAACACCACCACTACTGTGATATGGACTGTCCCCAAGATATTGCCACTGACTTACCCAAGTTCCTAAGTCGTTTTGTCTTTCTCCACAATAAATACAGAAGACATCTTCGTTGAGGACCTCACCCATCTTCTCTGGTTCCAAACATACATGTCCACTTTGGTCCTTAAGAGGTCCTACTCTCTCAAGGTATTTTTTTTTTTCCTTCAAAATACTTAAAGAATCTCTTTGGATTCACCCTAATCTTCTCAGCCAAAGCTATTTTGTGCCCCCTTTTTGCCCTCCTGATTTCCTCCTTCAGTAAACTCCTGTATCCTTTATATACCCCCAGGGATTCCCTTGATCCCAGCTGCCTGTTCCTGAGCCATGCCTCCTCCTTTTCTCTGGTCAAACCTCAAATTCTCTTGTCATCCAAGGTTCCCTACTCCTGCCAATCTTGCGCTTCATCCTCATGGGAACATAATAGACCTTGAACTCCAGCAATCACAGTTTTAAAGGCCTCCCACTTGCCAGAGGTCCCTTTCCTGCAAACAAACTACTCTAATCAACCCCTGCAAACTCCTGTCTCAAAATTTGCCTTGCCCCAATTTAAACTTGAACTTGTGGACCAGTTTTGCCCTTCTCCATATCTATTTTAAAATTAATAGAATTATGGTCCTGCAATTTTATTTCCAAATTGAGGATTCAAATCCAGCCCAGACTAACAGAATACAGTCTGCAGTTATGCCACATTAAAGAAGTTTGTGGTAGCCTTATCCTAGTGGTACAAATCTACAGTAGAAAATTACTTGACGCCCTAAACCTAATTGACAGTCTCATTTGGAACAGAGAACATTTTAGGCAATAAGGATAATATGGAAAAGGAAATGGGACAAACCTAGCACCACTACTGTATCTGGGTAAAGGTATGTTGAACAGTACAGTGAAAGCTTCGGACTTGAATCTAATTCACATTGTATCAGATCTGGGGTTAATTGCTGGTGACGGTAGATAGTAAAAATGCAAGAACATCCTATTTACTCACCCTAATATCTTTGCCTTTTATTCAAAAGAAGAACTTAATAAGTATGTATTTTTTCACTTAGAGAAATGTTTATGAAAAAATTGGCAGCCACCTCAACAGGTTACAGAAACTGCATTTTTGTTAGGAGTTATGCCTAGTTGTTGCTGTGATTGGTCACCTGTTCAGGAAAGTTGGCTGTCTTTGACAGGGCTCTCGTCATAGATGCATGCCCCTTTTCTAACAGCTTTTTATGAAAGATTTGCTGTCCCTTTCATTGCTTCAGTTTCATTAGTAGTTCTTGATAAACCAGGTAATTTTTCTAATGATTACTTCTGTTGCACACAGGTTGTTGAAGGAGTACCGCTAGCAAATGGAAAGAAGCTTAAATACAGGATTAATGGTATGTTCTTAACAGGCCTAATAATTGAATTGATATGGGGTGAAAAGTTATTGAGACAGTCAAGAATATGGAGTAACCAGATCAGCGATGATCTTATTGAATTACAGAGCAGACTGAAGGGATAGACTGGCTTTTGCCTGCTCCTAATATGTATGTTTGTATTAATAAAGATGTAGCATTCAGCACAACAGTGTACCATTTCTATAGGTCAAACCTAACTACTTTCTCAACCCACTGTTATAATGTTTTCTCAATACAGTGGATTCTGCTATAATGCAACCACTTTTTTTTCCACTTGATGCAATCAGAATTCAGAATGTATTATGGGTAATTATAATATTTGTTTCTACTATTCCAGCAGTTAAACTATTGAGGGAGATTGCAGTATATTTTAATTGACAGACCTTATTTGAAATTTAGAAAGTATTAAGGCATTATCAATGGCTCAAACTAGAAACTAAATATTGGGAGAGAGGATTCTAGTGGAGGAATGTTTGGAAACGTTAGAGAAAGACCAAGCCAATAGTACAGAGTAGCAATATGAGAAATGCTGACCTGAATATGACACAGAGACAGAACCTACTAAGAGTGCATTGGGTAAGTAAGATATGGTGTAAAGACAAAATTAAAGGCTCTTTATCTGAAGTGCACAACCATCTTAACAAGATGGATGATATGATAGCACAATTAGAAGTAAATGAGTATGAGGTGATAGGCAAAGTGACCATGTCTGGGATCTGAAATTCCATGGTGTTTCTTCTTTTAGAAGAAGATTGCTGTGGGACTGTTTCATAGAAACATGAGCAGTAACTACATTGTATCATGTTTCTTGATTACTGAAAAGGCAAATCTTGAGAAAGAGATTCTGCCATGTGTGCTGCGTGTTGTGTGTTTTTGATATGTTGTGTATTCCTGTTTTTGGTTTTGGCCATTATTGCTAAGCCACTGGTCATCATGGTGATCCATATCAGCCTACAGGAGGTGTTGCTGTCTTCCTGGTGCGATAATCCATGATTGTGGATTTTGTCACATTTTATAAGCATGCTTTAGGTCGAGCTTCGAATGTCCTACTGATCGTCAGGCTCTGGCTACTTCACCATGCAGAAAATCTGACCAGATATGTATATAGACTCCGTCCATATCTAAAGGAAGATAAAATTCAAGAGCTGGTGAAGACTGCTTTCTGGAAACTACAGGGGAGGTGATAGCCTAGTGGTATAATTGTTGGACTATTAACTCAGAGGCTTAGGTAATGTCCTGGGGACCCAGGTTCGAATCCCGCCACGACAGACAGTGGAGTTTGACTTCAATAAATATCTACACCCAAGATGACCACAAATTCATTGATTGTTGGGAAAACCCATCTGGTTCACTAATGTCCTTTTAGGGAAGGAAATCTGCCATCCTTACCCAGTCTGGCCTACATGTGACTCCAGACCCACAGCAATGTGATTGACTCCTCACTGCCCTCTGGGTAATTAAGAATGGATGATAAATGTTGCCTGGCCAGCAATGCCCTCATCCTGTGAATGAATAAAGGAAAAAAAGAAAATTGCCCAATCAGAACTGCTGCTTACAAGGTCTGCTTGATGAAACTCCCCAAAAACAGAACACCCCTCTGCTCCTACCACCTACTATGTCATATTTCTAGGGCAGGTTATTTTCTGTCAACCAATTGTCTGAATCCATTTGGACAATGACCATGGGACATCCACCAGTGACTTTGGATGGATTGTTGTCTCCTTGCTCATCTTCATCTGAGGGTTTGTTTGCATCCCTTCTGAGAACAAAATAAGATACGTGACGCTAGTTCACTAGATGTTGTGTTTTTCCTAATTCTTTCTGATGTTTTCGTATGCTGGAATTCTGGAAAGTTTTGTATGAGATTTAATTTAAAACTATGTAGTGAATACCAGGAGAATTGGGTCCCTTAAAAACCACAATATTCAAACCATGATTCAAGAGAGGAAGGAGACAAATTGGGCAACTATCGCCAGCTTACTTGACATCTATCATTGGAATTAAGGAGATAGTATCAGGACATTTAGAAACTCGTTTTGTAGGTAGATGCAATATAGTTTTGTGAAGAGGAAAACACATTTCAGGAATTTATAAGAATTCTTTTGGGGCTGTAACAAATAGGATTTATAAAAGTTTGATTCGTGATAGTCAGCATGGATTTGTGAGGGGTAGATCATGCCTCACAAACCTTATTGAATTCTTTGAAGAGGTGACCGAAGAGGTGACCAAACACGTGGATGAAGGTGGAGCAGTGGATGTGGTATACATGGATTTAAGTAAGGCATTTGATAAGGTTCCCCATGGTAGGCTCATGCAGAAAGTAAGGAGGCATGGGATAGGGGGAAACGTGGCAGATTGGATTCAGAATTAGCTGACCCTTAGAAGACAAAGGGTGGTAGTGTATGGAAAATATTTAACATGGTGCTCAGTTACAAGTGGTGTACCACAAGGATCTGTTCTGGGTCCTCTTCTATTTGTGATTTTTGTAAATGATTTGAATGAAGGAGTGGGAGGGTGGATTAGCAAGTTTGCGGACAATACGAAGGTGGGTCACGTGGACAGTGCGGAGTGCTGTTCGAGGTTACAAAGGGACATTGATAGAATGCAGAGCTGGGCTGAGAAGTGGCAGATGGAGTTTAACCCTGAAAAGTGTGAGGCGATTCATTTTGGAAGGACAAACTTGAAAGCAGAATACAGGGTTAACGGAAAGATTCTTGGCAGTGTGGAGGAGCAGAGGGATCTTGGGGTTCATGTTCACAGTTCACTGAAAGCTGCCACCCAGGTGGATAGAATTGTTAAGAAGGCGTATGGTGTGTTAGCTTTCATTAATAGAGGGATTGAGTTCAAGAGCTGTGAAGTTATGCTCCAGCTATACAAAAGCCTGGTTTGGCCACATCTGGAGTATTGTGCCCAGTTCTGGTCACCTCATTAGAGGAAAGATGTGGAAGCGTTGGAAAAGGTGCAGAGGAGATTTACCAGGATGTTGCCTGGAATGGAGGGAAGGTCTTACGAGGAAAGGTTGAGAGAGCTAGGGCTTTTCTCTTTAGAACAACGAAGGATGAGAGGTGACTTGATAGAGGTGTACAAAATGATTAGAGGTATAGATAGAGTAGACAGCCAGAGACTTTTTCCTAGGGTGGAGGTAGCTTTTACGAGGGGACATAGTTTTAAAGTGAAAGGAGGTAGATATCGGGGAGACGTCAGAGGTGGGTTCTTTACTCGGAGAGTGGGAGGGGCGTGGAATGCATTGCCGGAGAGGGTAGTGGAGTCGGCCTTATTCGGGGCATTTAAGCGACTATTAGATAGGCACATGGATGATAGTATAAGGTAGCGGCGGAGGTTAGATAGACCTTTAGGTTTCGGGTAAAAGTTCGGCACAACATCGTGGGCCGAAGGGCCTGTACTGTTCTATGTTCTAAGGGAAATCAGATGTAGAATATTTGGATTTTGAAAAAGCATCTCATAAGGTGCTATATAAAATATTGTACAAGATAAGAGATCATGGTGTTTGGGGTGATTTTCAACACAGATTGATTAGCTAACAATAGAGTTGGCATAAGTCGTCATTTCAGGTTGGTAAATTATTAAGTGGACTGATCCGGGGATCAGTGCTGAGACCTCAACTATTCATGAAATGCATTCATGACTTGAATGAAAAGACCAGTGGCCTTGTAGCCACATTTTGCTGCTGTTACAAAGGTGAGTGAACAAGGAGGATACAAAGAATCTGTAAACAAATATAAGATAACAAGGTGTAGAGCTGGATGAACACGGCAGGCCGAGCAGGAGGCTGACGTTTCGGGCCTAGACCCTTCGAAATGTCAGCCTTCCTGCTCCTATGATGCTGATTGGCCTGCTGTGTTCATCCAGCTCTACATCTTGTTATCTCAGATTCTCCAGCATCTGCATTTCCTACTATCTCTGTAAACAAATATACACAGGTCAAGTGAATGGGTAGCAATTTGGCAGATGTCGTATAATACAGGAAAATATGTAGTTGTCCACTTTTGCAGGAAGAATAGGAAAGCAGAAACTGATTTAAATAGAATCACAGCACAAACAAAGGCTATTATGTCTGTGCTATCTCACAGCCAATTCATCCAGTGCACTTTGCTGCCTTTTCCGATACCTCTGCCCGTTCTTCCTTTTTTCAGCTGATAATCTAGTATCCTTGTGAATACCTTGATTAAATGTGTCTTCACCACACTCTCAAGCATACTGTAAAACCATTCTGGAACTCCATTCTTCTTGACATTGAGAAAAAGGGCTGAGGCCACTGACATTTTAGTGTCATTGTTGTTTGTATTTTCCCCTGTAATGTTAAATAAATTAACAGAACATATAATTGACTTGCATTTGTAGATTAGAATAGAATTGAATTGAATTGAATTAAATTTGTCCCATGTACACAAGTGAGTACAGTAGTTTAGTTGTGTGCATTACAGCACCATCTTGGATACAAAGGTACCTAGGTACAGGTAGTTAAGATCAAATTCTTAGGAAACAAAAAGTTAGAAAAATAGTGTCCAGCATTATAGGTCATAGGAATAAATTAGAAAAATAATGAAGTATAATGTTCAGAATACCAGTCTTTCCGACCCAGTCCAAGCTGGCACCTAGCTTCCACTTCCAGGCAGACCTCCATCATCTTGCTGCCTGCACTGGACCCACCAACGTAGAAATCGCCTCACTTTAGATGCCATCCCTCTACCACTAGGCCTACTTTGATGCTGCTGAACTCACACTTTTCCCACAACTAAGAGTCCCTGGCTCCACTGCTGGGCCACAAGTTCTGCTTTGGCTGTCGATGTCGCCTTGCCTGCGCCACCATCTTGAAGAGTCTGCTGGTGCTGCCACCGCCGTCTCTTATCATTGGAGGAGCTTTGCTGCTGCTGGCCCTGAACACAAGGAGAATGACCTTGCTGCTGCCACTGTCCTCCAACGCTAGGAGGATGACCTCACTGCTCCAGGCCATGAGTATTGGGAGAATGCACTTGCTGCCGCTGCCTGCAATTGCTGGACGAAGCCACATCTGCCACTCCACATGTGCTGTTGTCAGTGCTGCCGACCGAACCGCCACAGAAAAGGGGGGAAAACACCCAAATAAAAAGAAAATAAAGCAAAAGAAAAGATCACAGGCAAAAGTTAAAGGAAGAAAGCAGATGGGCCCTGGGCAAGATCCCGCATGCGGCCCTGTCACTCTGCCACCGTCTTTCTGAAAGTTTTATGGTTCATATTTCTGTACAATAACACTAGGTCATTTGCTTGTGAAAAATTACTTCCAAACCATGCCAGCTGATTACATTGATCAAAGTTCTGTTTATAACTCCTCTCCACAGTATGCAAGTTCAGTTCATACTTGAACTTGTAAAGTTTATTGCCAAGTGTTTGGGTTCAACACTTTCAGACATGTGCAATCAGTCTGGAACCAGCCAGAATCATCATTTAAATCAACACTTCATAAATGTTAATGTTTAAATTTGAAGAAGGAACAAGGCAGTACATTGGGAAAACAAAGAGCAGCAATGTGTATTGGAAATCAATTTTTATGAAGAAAACTGAAGAAAATAATGCAGAAGATTGACCAGTTTTTTTTCCTAAAGATCAATGTTTCAGTTATCTCTCTTTATCACTACTAACTGGGGTAGTGCCTTTCTTCAGTGAGAGATCCAATCTTAATATGGTATGGAATAATTTACAAGATTGTAACCAGTGTTACTATGAATAGAATATATTTTTTACCTTTTGTAGTGTTCACTTCTGATAATACTGATTGCCTTCATTTTTTCTTTCAGCATTCTATGCATTTGTGCTGTGTGCTGCTGCATTAGGTGCTGCCCTGTACAATGAGGTAAACCTGAGTTACATTTACAGCAACGAGTTGCAGCTTGCAATCTCTGCAATGGTGTTTTCTGTTTTATTGAGCATCTACCTGTATGTGCGCTCCTGGCGTGTTCCTGCAGATGAGCTGGCAGAAGGAGGAAATTCTGGTAAGTGCCTATAAATAAAGTGAACAAAGGTTGGGTATAGCCATCCTATTTGTAATTCATTGTCCTTTCATTCCATTCTTTTTATTTTCAGATGCAAAAGAAAAGTACTAATAATGCTGGAAATAATTATTGGCATAAAAACTGAAAGAACTGCGGATGCTGTAAATCAGGAACAAAAACAAAATTGCTGGAGAGGCTCACCCTGGCAGCATCTGTTCAGGAAAATACAGTTAACGTTTCGGGTCCGGTGACTCTTCCTCCTGAGGAAACGTCAACTCTGTTTTTTCCTTCGCAGATGCTACCATAATTACTGGCATTGTTAGTGGAGCAACTGAAATTTGATAATGGATTATCAAGCTGAAATGTTAATTGTTTCTCCACACATGCTGACAGACCTTCTGAGTGTCTAGCATTTTCAATTTTTTGTGATGTTAATTACTGTTTTATTAGCGACTATAGCAAGTCATTGAATATTCTCATGATTCTGCATAGAAAATTTTTTTTCTTTATTTTGCTTCTAAATAGCCTAGCTGTATTTTTTATGGTTATTCTGTCTTCTGGATTTCCCCCAGTGGATTTCCGTTTTTACCCCACTGCAGCCTTGAACAGGAGACTAGGAGTAAGCAATTCAACCCCTTGAGCCTGCTCCACCATGCTATACATAAGGGAAAGCAATGGTAGACATTTAAGGAGGTAATTCATAACATTAAGCAAAAATATATCCCATTTAAGGAGGAAAACTTATTAGAAAGGGAAAGACCAACTATGGCTAACCAAGGAAGTTAAGGAGAGCATTAAGCTGAAATAAAAAGCATATAAGGAGACAAAAGTCAATGATAGCCCTGAAGTCTAGGATAAGTTAAGAATCCAGCAAAGAAAGTCTAAAATGATAAAGAGAGAGAAAGTAAGCCGAGGTCAAACTAGTGAGGAAAATAACAACTGACAATAAAAACTTCTTTAAATATATAAAAAGAGGGAAGTAAAAGTGAACATGAAAATGAATCTGGGGAGGTAGTAATGACAGAGGACTTAAACAGATATTTTGCATCAGTTTTTACAGTGAAAGATACCTCAAACTTTCCATTAATACCGAATAATATGGGGGAGGAATAAAGTCCCAACACACGAGATGTACTATTAGACAAACTAATGTGGCTAAAGGCAGATAAATTGCCTGACACTAATGGCTTGCATCCTAGCATCCTAAAAGACATGGCTACAAGGATGGTGGATGCTTTGGTTGTAATTTTTTTAAAAAAAGTCCTTGATCTCTGAAGGAGTATTGGAGGATTGGAAAACTGTCACTGTGACACCCCTAATCAAAAAGGGAAGGACGTAAAGAGTTGTTAACTATAGGCTGATGAGCATAACCATAATTGTTTAGAATCGATTATTAAGGAAGTGATAGCAGCACATTTGGAAAACTGTAATCTAATCAAGCAGAATTAGCATGCCTTTGTGAAAGGAAAATCGCGTTTGATTAATTTATTATAGTTTTTGAAGGAAGTCCCATCCAGAGTGGACAGAGGGGAGCCAGTAGGAGTGTTGTATTTTGATTTTTCAGAAAGCATTCAACAAGATTCCTCAACTTGATTGAGATTTTTTAAGAGCTAGCAAAGAAGATAGACAAAGGCAAAGTGGTAGACGGCGTCTATATGGATTTCAGCAAGGCGTTCAACTCTGTTCCACACAGTAAATTGGTAGCAAGGTTCAATCGTATGGAATCCAGGGGGAGCAAGCCAATTGGATACAAAATTTCCTGGAAGGTAGGAAACAGGTGTGGTGGTAGAGAGTTGTTTTCCAGACTGGAGGCCTGTGACCAGTGATGTGCCACAAGGATCAGTTTGGATCTACTGCTTTTTTCCACTTTTATATAAATGATTTAGATGTGAATATAGGAGGAATAGTTAGTAATTTTGGAGATGACATCAAAATTGGTGGTGTAATAGACAGCGAAGGTTATCTCGGTACAGTGGGATCTTGATGAGATGGGCCAGTAGGCCGAGGAGTAGCAGATGGACTTTAATTTAGATAAATGTGGGATTTTGCATTTTGGTAAGGCAAACCATTGGCAGGACTTCTAAACTGTTAATGGTAAGGCCTTGCGATGTGTTGCTGAACAAAGAGACCTAGAGGTGTAGCTGCATTGTATTTGTACCTTGAAGGTGTAGTCATAAGTTGACAGGATCATGAAGAAGACATTTGGCACTCTTGCTTTCATTGGTCAGTGTATTGAATATGGGAGTTGGGGCATCATCTTGCTGCTGTACAGGACTTTTGTGAGCCACTTTTAAAATAATGTGTTCAGTTCTGACCATACCTGCCATAGGAAAGATGTTATTAAACTTGAAAGAGTTCAGAAAAGATTTACATGGATGTTGCTGGGATTGGAGGTTTTGAGCTATAGAGAAAGGCTGAATAGGCTGGGGCCTTTTTTCCCTGGAGTGTTGGAGGCTGAGGGATGACCTTTTATAGATAGAAATTTGTAAAATCATGAGGGGCATGGATAGGGTGAATAGCCAAGGTCTTTTTCCAGGGTAGGGGAACCCAAAACGAGAGGGCATGGGTTTAACATGATTTGGGAAAGATTTAAAAGGGACCGAAGAGGCAAACTTTTCACACAGGATAATGCTTGTATGGAATGAACTGCCAGAGGTCATGGTGGAGGTGGGTACAATTACAACATTTAAAAGGCATCGGATGGGTGTATGAATAAGAAAAATTAAAAGGGATATGGGCTGCATGGTGGCTCATTGGTCAGCACTGCTGCCTCACAGCAGCCTGGACCCAGGTTTGATTCCATCCTTAGGTGTGGAGTTCTCGCTGTGTCTGCACGGGTTTCCTCCGGGTGCTACGGTTTGCTCCCACAGTCCAAAGATGTGCAGGTTAGGTGGACTGGCCATGCTAAATTGCCCATAGTGTCCCAAGATGTGGAGGTTCGGTGGATTAACCGTGGGAAATGCAGGGTTACAGGGATAGGGGCGTGGGTCTGGATGGGGTGCTCTTCAGAGGGTTGGTGTGGACTCAATGGGCCGATTGACTTGTTTCCACACTAGGGATTTTATAATTCTATGAAATGGTACTAGACTAGTTTAGGATATCAGATTGGCATGGGTGAGTTGGATCAAAGTGTCTGTTTCCATATAACTCTGACTCTCTATAACAGATCACAAGTCACAAGATAAAAGCCGATGGTGTTGGGGGTACTGAAAACTGTTTATAGCTTCTATGAAGCAGCACTCTTGATGAACCTGCAAAAATTATTTTACAAAAATGCCAGAATTTTACTGTATTATTGTGATCTCTGTGACATCTGAGTAATCAGTTGAAGGTGCAAGCTGAGAGCCTTCTTACCATTTAAGTTTTATTTAAGGCAAAGTTGTATTATTATTTGTGATTTATGCTATAAATAAAGTATAACAGTTCTGAAGAAGGGTCTAGGTCTGAAACATCAGCTTTCCTGCTCCTCTGATGCTGCTTGGCCTGCTGTGTTCATCCAGCTCTACACCTTGTTATCACAGGAGTAGGATGTTTGGCTTATTTAACCTGCTCTGCCATTCAGTTGGATCATGGCTGATCTGACATTTCTCGCATCCGCTTTCCTGCCTTTTCCTTCTAACCTTTGATTTCTCCCCCCGATTAAGTATCTATCTTAGCCTTAACTAAACACAAGGACTCTGCCCCCACATTGTCTGTGGCAAGGAGTTCCAAAGACACCTAACTCTTTGAGAGAAGGTTAGAAGTTAGACTACACCAGGTTATAGCCCAAAGGATTTATTTGAAATCACAAGATTTTGGAGCATTGCTTCTCTCACTTCACCTGACGAAGGGGCAAACAGACACAATTTATAGGCAAAGAGATCAGAAGATCATATAAAGTGGAAAGGCCAAATAATCAGTCTCTGCTAGTGATCCAGAGTGTCAGACAATGTGAGGAAAGTGTCAACACCTGAGTAACAAGCGAAGGGATGACCTATAATCCGTTTAAATGAGGTAGAGAGATAATTACAAAAAATTAAAAATAAGGCGGTGCTGGAAACAAATCAAATGACTGGAATAACATGATAGGTATAAGAGTCGCATGTCGAGGGTCTAACCAGAGTAATAAGTAATCCAAAACTGTACAAACTAATTAAGGTAGGGATATCATAATTAATCAAGGTGATGGTATCAAAACAGCACAGTAAGGAAGATTTTATAGATGCAGAAGTGTGTGGTGGGGTCACATGTAGCATGACATGAACCCAGGATCACGGTTGAGGCTGTCTTCGTGGCTGCACAACTTGGCTGTCAGCTTCTGCTTAGTGATTCTGCATTGTTCTATATCTTGAAGGCCGCCTTGGAGGGCACTTACCCAAAGATCGGAGGCTGAATATCCTTGACTGCTGAAGTGCTCCCCCACTGGGAGGGAACATTCCCACCTGGCAATTTGTTGCATGGTGTCCATTCATCTGTTGTCGTAGCATCTACATGGTCTCACCAATATACCATGCCTTGGGGCATTCTTGCCTGCAGCATATGAGACAACGTTGACTGGGTCACGTGAGTGTCTGCCATGTACGTGGTGTTCCCGCGTGATGGTATTATCCATGTCGATGCTCTGACATTGTCATGCAGAGGTTGCCACGACAGGGTTGTATAGTGTTGTGGCCGGTGTTGTCCTGAAGGCTGGGTAGTTTGCTGTGAATGGTGGTCTGTTTAAGGCTTGATGGCTGTTTGAAAGCGAGAAGTGGGGGCATAGGGATGATCTTGACGAGATGCTTGTCGTCATAAATGACGACATATTGAAGGCTGTGAAGAACATGGTGTAGTTTCTCCGCTCTGGGGAAGCACTGGATGACAAAGGGTACTCTATTGGTTGTGACCTGTGTCTGTCTTCTGAGGAGGTCGTTGTGGTTTTTCACTGTGGCCTGTCAGAATGGTGATTGATGAGTTGAGCATCATATCCTGTTCCTATGAGGGCATCCTTCAAAATCTTTAGGCGTCCGTTGCATTCCTCTTCATCTGAGCAGATCCTGTGTATATCCAGGGCTTGCCCATAGGGGATGGTTTCTGTAACAGATTTAGGGTGGAAGCTAGAGAAGTGCAGCATCATGAGATTATCCATGGGCTTGCGTTAGAGTAAGCTACTGAGGTGTCCGTCCTCGATGGAGATGCATGTCTAAGAATGAGACTGATTCTGAAGAGTAGTCCATGGTAAGTCTGATGGTGGAATGAAACTTGTTGATATCGCTACAAAAACCAAGTTGCTGGAAAAGCTCAGCAGGTCTGGCAGCATCTGTGGAGGAGAAAACAGTTAATGTTTTGGGTTCGGTGACCCTTGCTCGGAACTGTTGGTGGCTGCGAAAACGTCAGTTTATATGCAGAAAATATGGAGGTGGGTGGGGTAGGGACTAAACAATAGGATAGAGCCCAAAGAGAGAGAAAGACAGTTGGACAGACAAAGGAATTGCCAACGATCAGGCTGGGAGGGTGAATAGTTGTTAATGGGGACTGTTAGTGACTAACAACAGGGTGTGTGTAGTGGCAGGCTATGTGGTAACAAGGCCTGGTGGGTGGGGTGGGGGGCTAGGACATGGGAGAGTTTAGGCCCTAAAATTATTGAACTCAATATGGAGCCCGGAGGGCTGTAGGGTCCCCAAGTGGAAAATGAGGTGGTGTTTCTCCAGCTTGCGTTGGGCTTCACTGGAACACTGTAGCAAGTCAGAGACACAGATGTTGGCCAGGGAGCAAGGTGGTGCATTGAAGTGGCAGACAACAGGTAGTTCAGGGTCTTTTTTGCGAGCAGAATGTAGATGTTCTGCGAAGCGGTCGCTAAGTCTATGCTTCGTTTGCCCAATGTAGAGGAGACCACATTGTGAGCAGCGAATGCAGTAGACTAGATTCTGGGAAGTGCGAGTATGTTTGGGCCCTTGGATACTGAGGTGGTAAATGGACAGGTATTGCACCTTCGCCGGTTACAGGGGAAGGTGCCGTAGGGCTGTGGGGAGATGTTGGGGTTGAAGGAAGTGTGGATCTGATATCGCTATGTAGTCGTTTCAGTAATTCCTCGCCATGAGTCCAAAGGAAGAAAATGTCGTTAACGTATCTCGTGCACAGTGTTGGTTGGAGGTCCTGCACAGCAATGAAGTCTTGCTCAAACTTGTGCATGAAAATGTTTGCATATTGTGGTTCTGATTTAGTCCCCATGGCTGTTCCATGTGTCTGGATGAATAAATGGTTGTCAAAGGTGAAGACATTGTGGTTGAGGGTAAAGCAGATGAGTTGTAGGATGGCATCTGGAAATTGGCAATTGTTGGTGTTGAGTACTTAGGCTGTTGCAGTGATGCAGTCATCGTGGGGGCTGCTGGTGTAGAGTGCCAGAACGTTCTTGGTTTGACTGGTCTGCGGGTGCTGAGTTTCTGTAAGAAATCTGTAGTGTTGTGACAGAAGCTGGGTTTCCTTGTACAATGGGTTTCAAGATACCCTTGACATAGCCAGAGAGGTTCTCACACGGGGTCTCATTGGCTGATACAGTTGGCTTTGTTTATTTTTGGGAGGCAGTATAAGTCTCCTTTGCGAGAAATACACGGGATGAGATTGCATAGGATCCTCTGAACATCTGGATCAAAGGTCTTGATCAGTCTGAGTTGATGGGTGTGTTCTTTGGTTGGATCAGCAGGCAGTTGTCTGTCATGTTGCTGGTTGTTCAGTTGTCAGTATGCCTCTTTGCAGTAGTCCATTCTATTCTGTATGACGATGGCTCCTCCGTTGTCTGCTGGTTTGATGACAATGTTGCGATTGGTCTTGAGAGCTTGGGTGACATTCTGTGCTATCTTTTGCGGCTGGCATTAATGCATCTCCTAATGGCAAGAGCATACATGTCGAGCCTAGGGCAGCAGCCTTCTGGAGGGGTTCAATTTGATTCTTTCTTCTTTGACTCTGCACTGTGGATCTCTCTCTATCGACTGTTCCGGTTCATTGGTTGTCTCATTGGGTTTGCTGCTGAAATCTTAGGGTTTGTGGAAGAATTCCAGGAGCCTCATTCACCTGATGAATTCCTCTATGTCTGCCTGAGACCAATGGGGTCCATTTTGGTAGTGGGACTGAAATTGAGCCCATGGCTGAGCACTTCGATTTTCTTTTTTGTCTGACCACACTTTTCAGCCAGACAAAGTTGATAGATTTCCCTGTAGCGGTACAGTTTCAACCATCATGCTGGGGGAGGCTTGGTTACTGCTGGTGGTGATACCAAGTTTCTCCAGTTTCCTGTTCTTGGTGTGCATGTAGGTGGTGTAGTTCTGTTGCCTTGTCTGCTGGCAGTGCCTTGTAGCTAGTCCTCTGTACCTTGCGTGCAAGCTGAGAATATGGCTTCTATCTCAATTTCAAGGTTGCAGTGTCTGCTGGAATATGAGCTGGCGTGCGAGATGAATGAGGAGTGTGCAAGAGATGCAATGGCATAATCTCAGCGTAATTTGTGTTGTAGGTTGACTTGAACGGGTTTGTAATCTGTAGTGCTTTTGGGATCTTCTCTGCTTTCTTGCATCTCTGCAGAAACCTGATGTTTGTGTTGATAAGCGTGATCTTCTTGGAGATGCTCTTCACTTTGACATTCAACCTCTGATCTTCGGGTAAATGTCCTCCAAGGCGGCTTTTAAGACACACAATGCAGCATTGCTGAGCAGAAACTGATAGCCAAGTTCTGTACCCATGAAGATGGCCTCAACCATGATCTTGGGTTCATTGTCGCACTACATATGACCCTACCACTCTTCTGTATCTGTAAAATCTTCCTTACTGTCCTGTTTTGACACAATCACCTTGATAAATTGTTATGATTGCTCTACCTTAATTAGTTTGTACAGTTTTGGATTACTTGCTATTTGGTTAGACTCTCGGCATGTGACCCTTGTACCCCTCATGTCATTCCAGTTGTTTGGTTTGTTTCTAGCACCACCTTTCATTTTTAATTTTTTTGTAATTATCGCTCTACCTCATTTAATCAAATTATAGGTCATCCCTTCGCTTGTTACTCAGCTATTGACACTTTACTCGCACCATTTGATGCTCTGGATCACCTGCAGAGACCTATTATCTGGCTTGTCGATGCTCCACTTTGTATGATTTTTTTGATTTCTCTACCTTTAAATTCTGTGCCTGTGTGCTTCTCTTTCACTTCACCTGACGAAGGGGTGACGTTCCAAAACCTTGTGATTTAAAATAAACCTGTTGGACTATAACCTGGTGTTATCTGATTTCTAGATAGTAGGTAAAAACCAAAAGAACTGCGGATGCTGTAAATCAGGAACAAAAACAAAGTTGCTGGAAAAGCTCAGCAGGTCAGGCAGCATCTGTGGAGGAGAAAGCAGAGTTAACGTTTTGGGTCTGGTGACCCTTCCAGACCCGAAACGTCAGCTTTCCTGCCCCTCTGATGCTACTTGGCCTGCTGTGTTCGTCCAGCTCTACACCTTGTTATCTGACTTCTAACCTTGCCCACCTCAGTCCAACACCATCATCTCCACATCTCATTTTAATTAAATGACCATATCGGATGTCATTAGAGTCATACAACATGGAAACAAACCTTTTGGCCCTTGCCAACATTTGGTCCGTATTCCTGTAAACTCATTCTATTCATCCAAATGCCTTTTAAATGTTGTAATTATACCCACTTCCACCACTTCCTCACTGAGTTCATTTCATACATGCACCATCCTCTGTGCAGTTGCTATATTAATAAAGTACATGTTGTAATTACTTCATCTGTATTGGTTTGCAGGTAGTTTTATTTATGACTTCTTCATTGGACGTGAACTGAATCCTCGTATCAGAAACTTTGACCTGAAGTTCTTCTGTGAACTGCGTCCGGGTTTGATGGGCTGGGTGAGTTTGAAGCCTCTACTGACTAAACCACAGGATTATATTTTTGAATTCTAAGTTATATTAGCAGGTCTTTTGGTTCTTTCTTCCACCCTAAGTTTCCTTACAGTTCTACACATCATCCCATTCTATAGTCCTGTTTCCCTCAACATTCCCAAAGCTAAAAGTAAATGTGTGTCCAGTCACCAGCCACTTGGGAAAGCCTTGAGCCCCACTAATTCCAGTTTCATCACAGAAGTCAATCAAGTTACTCAAAATCCTCAATTTATCTGCCTAATGGACACTAATTAACAGAGCATTGAACAGCTTTAAGTACTTAATGATCTACTACTTATTAGAATTAAATCAGTTCTAACTGATGTAAAACAAAAACATGAATTATTAATGTAATTCTGCTAGATGCAGCTCTAATCCCCTTAAACACCTAAACTCACATTGAGACAGCTACAAACGTAGATGTTATGGGTGGAGGAAAAAAATCCTGGGGAGAAACAGTTCATTGGCACCAAATCAACAAGGTGCAATGAGGTGTCCCTTATGAACATAGACCATAGAACAGTACAGCACAGTATAGGCCCTTCAGCCCACTATGTTGTGCCGACCTATTATCCTACTAAGATCAGTCTACCCTGCATACCCTACGTCTTACTATCCTCCATGTGCCTATCCAAGAGTCGCTTAGAAGTCTCTAAAGTATCTGACTCTACTACCACTGCCGACAGCGCATTCCACATACCCACCAGTCTCTGTGTGAAGAACCTATCTCTGACATCTGCCCTATATCTTCCTCCAATCACCTTAAAATTATGCCCCCTCGTAATAGTCATTTCTGCCCTGGGGAAAACGTCTCTGACGATCCACTCTATCTATGCCCCTCATCAACTTGTAAACCTCTATCAAGTCATCTCTCATCCTTCGCTCCAATGAAAAGAGCCCTAGCTCCCTCAACCTTTCCTCATAAGACCTGCCCTTCAGTTCAGGCAGCATCCTGGTAAATCTCCTCTGCACCCTCTCTTAAAGCTTCCACATTTTTCCTGTAATGAGGCAACCAGAACTGAACGCAATATTCCAAGTGTGGTCTAACCAGAGTTTACAGAGCTGCAGCATCACCTCATGGCTCTTAAACTCAATCCCCCTGCCAATGAAAGCCAACACACCATATGCCTTCTTAACAACCATAATCAACTTGAGTAGCAACTTTGAAGGATCTATGGACATGGACCCCAAGGTCCCTCTGTTCCTCCGCGCAACCAAGAACCCTGCCACTAACCCTGTATTCTGCATTCAAATTCAACCTTCCAAAATGAATCTCTTCACACTTTTCTGGGTTGAATTCCATCTGTCACTTCTTTGCCCAGCTCTGCATTCTGTCAATGTCCCGTTTCAACCTACAACAGCCCTCCACGCTGTCCACAACTCCACCAACCTTCATGTCATCGGCAAACTTACTAACCCATCCTTCCACTTCCTCATCCAAGTCATTTATAAAGATGCAAAGAGCAGAGGTGCCAGAACAGATCCCTGCGGAATACCCCTGGTCACCAAGCTCCAGGCTGAATACTTTCTATCTACTACCACCCTCTGTCTTCTGTTGGACAGCCAGTTTTGAATCCAGACAGTCAAACGTCCCTGAATCCCATGCCTCCTTACTTTCCGAATGAGCCTACCATGGGGAACCTTATCGAATGCCTCGCTAAAATCTATATATACCACATCCTCTGCTCTACCTTCATCAATGTGTATCATCACATCCTCAAAGAATTCAATAAGGCTTGTGAGACATGACCTGCCCCTCACAAAGCCATGCTGACTATTTCTAATCAAACTGTGCTTTTCCAAATAATCATAAATACTATCTCTCTGAATCCTCTCCAATAATTTGCCCACCACAGAAGTAAGACTGTCCGGTCTGTAATTTCCAGGATTATCCCTATTCCCTTTCTTGAACAAGGGAATGACATTTGCCACCCTCCAATCGTCTGGTTCTACTCCAGTGGACAGTGAGGACGCAAAGATCATCGCCAAAGGCGCAGCAATCTCTTCCCTCGCTTCCCGTAGAAACCTTGGGTATATCCCGACCGGCCCAGGGGACTTATCTATCCTCGTGTTTCTTTCAAAATTTCTAGCACATCCTCCTTCCTAACATCAACCTGTTCGAGCATATCTGCCTGTTTCATGCTGTCCTCACAAACGTCAAGGTCCCTGTCACTGGTGAATACTGAAGCAAAGTACTCATTAAGGACCTCCCCTACCTCCTCTCACTCCGCGCACAAGTTCCTTCCACTATCCCTGATTGGCCCTACCCTCACTCTGGCCACCCTCTTGTTCCTCACATAAGTATAGAAAGCCTTGGGGTTTTCCTTGATCCTATCTGCCAAAGTTTTCTCATAACCCCTTCTAGCTCTCCTGAGTCCATTCTTCAGTTCCTTCCTGGCCACCCTATTGACCTCTCGAGCCCTGTCCAATTCTTGTTTACTCAACCTTAAGTAAGCTTCCTTCTTCCTCTCGACTGGGTGTTCAACATGTCTTGTCATCCAAGGTTCCTTCACCTTACCATCCTTTCCTTGCCTCAGTGGGACCTTGCCTGCGATTAAAGACAATGCAAAGGTCTCTTTCAAGGTCCCAGCAATCTTCTCTCATGCCTCCCTAAGTATCCTGGGTTAGATGCCACCAAGCGCTGTGTTATCTACTGTTTAACGTATTTCAATACACCTAACACCACTTCATCTTTTAATATCGACATGATTTAGACTTTTAACAAACCCCTCCATAATCGTGCCATTATCCATGGCCTTGGTGAAGATCGATGTGAAGTACTCGTTAAGGACCTCACCCATTTACTCTGGCTCCATGCATAAATTCCCTCTGTGTTCTTGATGGACCTACCCTTTCCCTAGCCACCCTCTTGCTGTTAATATGCATAGAATCCCAAGGCATTTTATAAATAATGCTACTTGCCAAGGACATTTCCTGGTCCCTTCTAGCCCTCCTACTTCCTTGTTTAAGTTCTTTTCTGCAGTTTTTTAATATTCAAGGGTCTTGTCCTTCTTTATACTTTGTTCTTCTTGATTAACTTTTTAACATCGCGTCATCCAAGGTTCCCAAATTTTGCCATCTTTTTCTTTCATCCTTACAGGAACATGCTGGTCCTGAAATTTGATCAACTGGCCTTTAAAAGACTCCCACGTGTCAGAAGTGGATTTAGTCTCAAAAACCATCCCCAATCTAATTTCTCCACTTCTTCCCTAATACTGTTGTGATAAGCCTTCCCCCAATTTAGCACTTTTACCCAGGATTGCCTCCTGTGCCACCTGCTAGTAAGGCAAGAAATAGGAAGGTAATACAATTGAATGTGTGGCTAAAGGGGCGGGGTAAGAGGAGGGCTTCAGATGTATGGATCATTGGGATCTCTTCCAGGGCAGGTAGGACCAGTACATGAAGGACGGGTTGCTCCTAAACTGGAGGGGCACCAATATCTTTGTCCATGACTGTCTTAAAACTTACAGAATAAAAAATGAAAGAACTGCAGATGCTGTAAATCAGGAACAAAAACAAAGTTGCTGGAAAAGTTCAGCAGGTCTGACAGCATCTGTGAAGGAAAAAACAGTTAACGTTTCAGGGATAGTAGGAACTGCAGATGCTGGAGAATCTGAGATAATAAGGTGTAGAGCTGGATGAACACAGCAGGCCAAGCAGCATCAAGGGTCTAGGCCCGAAATGTCAGCTTTCCTGCTCCTTTGATGCTGCTTG